TATATTATTTCAATGAAACAACAGTACAAAATAGGAATTCTTTTCTCCAGTGTTTATGATAAATAATTCAAAGTAAATCCGATAGAGATCAGCACGCACGCATGGCATTTCCAATGCCATCTAGCGAGCACTGATTGTAATACATGGGCAAATAGAAAATATGGTGAGAAATAGTTTAATTTATTTGGGCAAATATTTTTTGAAACATGGAGGGCACCGAGTTATCTTGGGCAAATCACAGAAGGGATTAATCATAGCTTTCCAACTTCTCATACAGTTCTGAAATTTTTCATCATATTTTTTATCATAATATTAAGCTGAGTATGTTGGGCTACCAGTCAAGTAATTCATGGTGTAGGACATAAAATTTTTGAACATGCTTCACACTTTCAGTTGTAGGTGCTTTATAAAAGTGGCAGTAAGTGCCATTATTCGATTCACACAGCTTGACAAAGTCCTCGTGGCAGCAGGTGCAGTTGACTATGTGCTCTTCTTAATCACTGTTCAAAATTAGGTGTGGCTTTACCCGAACACTGGTCTTTTAGCCCGTGTGCATGTAATATCCTTTTATTCTATTATTTATTATTGGAAATGCTAAGCTAGGATTTTAAAATCAAGATTCATTTGTAAGTTTGTTTGGCTTTAAACGCTAAAGTACAAAAAGGTTGTATTCTTTTTACAATTCTCCACTTGTCTTAAGTTTTAACATGAGCATTAGGCAAGCATTTTTCCTTGCCTGATGTTGCAGTATGCACTGGTAGTTTGAATTCCTTTAGGTTTTTATAGAATAATTTTATGGATGTGAGGGGTTATATTTAAGTTGGACTGATTTTATAATTAGGTGACTTCAGTACGCCAACTGGCTTTCTGTCACTTAGTTTAGCCTTTTATTTTCTTTCTGAAAATTCTTTCAGCCAGTTTAATGTTTTCTTGGAGATAATAAATAATTGTATTGTGATGAAATTAAAATAACTTTTTCTACATTTAAGGTAGTATCTTGCCACCACTCTGTGGTGGCTATCTGATTATTGCTGATTTAATTAAAGTGTTTATCACTGTGTGACTTGTGCATCATTTCAAATATTTTAGAATTAACTTTATCGATATATTTAGCTATGAAAAAGAATAAAGAGATAGTGAGATTAATGTGTCATGCGCAACTGCTTTGACATTACAATTGTATTAAGCATAATAATAATGTACAAAGTAATTTCAAATGATTATATATACTTGAAATTTGCTCATCACCTTTTTTTCAAATATTTCACATTAACATTATCGAGTTTTCAATATCTGCTTTGTTCACTAATCTTTATATTTTCTATAAAAGAATTAATTTCGTTTTTATAAATTTCTCTTACGAGTTACACTTTTTTAAGAGCTCTAAAATATTATTTGTGAAAGCTGCTTTTGTGATGTCATTTTTGCATAAGTGAACTTTTTTTACTCTATGATGTATGTTCTATTTTGACTTTGATTCTAAATAAACAGATCCTGTGTTTATGTGAATATGTATATGTATATCTTCAGATGAATACTACGTAACTATGATTTTCACCTAACTGAGAACAAGCAGTAGATTTGTAGAAAACATTAAAAAAAGTTGATGAGTTTAAATCTTTCCCAGTTGTAGAGCCACCTCATGATATTGAAGCATTTCCCAAGAGTCCTTATAGTGTCCAGGTACAGTGGAAGCCACCAATGACTCTCAGAAACATAAGCTATTATACTGTAAGATTTCACCCTGTGTTAAATGGGCCTTTGAATGCTTCAGCGGTCAACTATATTCGCAGGTAATACTCAGTACTAGAATTTCTTTTTTATTAAACAATGTTCAGTGCTTAATTTCTGTAAAAAAGTTCCAGATCTCTATTGATGGGTGAATGAGGATTTAAATTTTAGAAGATAAGTTAAACATTATTCAGACCATTGTCTGGGATGGGACTGGAGGGATGGTAATATATTCGATCATATTAGTTAAATATAAATTTCAATGCCACTGCAGTAGTCTTAGAATTATTTATAGTTTTTTTTCACCTTTATGTTGAATAAAAAACAAACAATTTTCAAATCTAAGATCCAAAAAGATCTGGCACTGATGATGTGAAAAATTGCCTTTAAGATGAGTTAACAGCTCATTTTGACAAAACTAACATCAGTTGTGTGAAAGAAACTTGACAGACCGTACAAACGAAAATAAATGTGTATTCTATATACATAACATTATAATAAACTACAGTGACATCATGTTTATTTTGTATAAAAAAAAAATAACCTGTTTGTTCTTATAGTACCTTAATTCAATGTGTGTCACAAAATGTCAAGCCTTTTTATTTTTTGCTGCACTAAATGTTCCATTCTAATAAATAATACCTTTTATCAATTGTTTCATTAGCTTACATATTTTTGTGATTGCTTCATTTTGTAACTATTATCTGAATCAGTTTGATAATCTTGTATCATACTTAATTTTTACCATCCTCTATACAACTAAAATAAGATGAACTAAATTACACAACTTTGACTGAAGTTACAGCATAATTTGATTTCGAAGACAGTCTTTTTAATGTTTTCTGAAATTTGTTTTAATTCTGAAAGGTAATTTTAGGTCAGTTTTTGTTCAGCATTCCTTTGGCCCAATATTCATACGAATTTGGCTTCTGTCTTCCAAAGATGATATATGCTTCTTTAAGTAGAAAGAGTTATACTAAAAGAAATTACCAATTCAGTTAAGTCTAGTATTAGGTCATTCTACTTTCACGTGTACTTTTCAGGTTGTTGGTCAGAAAATAGGTTGTTTATAATTTTAAATTAAGCTTGTCATTTTAATACTACAAATTATTGTTACTTTGACGTAGTTTTATTCTTTCATTTCTGAAAAAAAGTGGTATGTTGAATCTGGTGTTATCGTGAACTTGTAGTTTCATCACAGTCATTTCAGTGGCAATAATGAAATAAAAGTTGACATGTTTAGTCACTTTTACACACACACGCACATATATATATGTGTGTGTGTGTGTGTGTAGAAGTGAGATGAAAACAAAAATTTATTAAGACTTTTGCAGTTGAGTTTCAGTCTATTTCTTCAGTTATACACTCACAAAGCTCATAAATGTTAAAAACAAAAGGGGGCCTAGCTAATATTTTGGGATTGTTTTGGACCAAATTATGTATTTAGTTAAATAGTATATTTTGAGTTTTGTTTGGTTTAATAAAAATTTGAATTCTTAAATAATGAAATACAGTGTGAAATTCGCTGTAAAGAACTCAAATTTGAGTGATATGAACCTTTTCAGTGTGTCATGTGATAAACTTAAAGTTTATATTTGTACTACAACTGACAAATCTGTGTTTAACTCTTCTTTTTTTTTTAAGGTACACAAATTTTGCTCTTATTTATTTTATTACTTAGTTTGTTTGTTTTTTTTCAATTTTTTACTAATATACTTTTATTTTATTTTAAAAGATTCCTGTGTTTTAAAATGAAACTATATTACTTTTAAACTTGTAACATTTTTTTGGAAACTTTTTGTAATACAAAGTAGTATTTAGGTTGTTATTATAATAGCATTGAAAAAATGTCCTAGCAACAATTACCTAAGCCTGTGTTTTGTTTTATCCTACTTAATATTAGTAGGAACATGTACAATTTTGTCACAGTAAGCTCTAATGAGTTTACTGGCTTTATATATAAATAGATATTGAAATGGTAACACTTCATTCTTAAAATGAGGATAGTTCAACAATGAAGATTATAAAAGTTTTGTTCTGGTGAAAAACTAAGATGAAAGTAATAATTAATTTTAATACCATAAGATTTTATCAGACAACTTGAAAGTATGTTGGGATTCCTGATGAAAATGTTTTTTAATATAAATTGACAGAAAACTTTCGTCACAGTTTTTAGATATTATTGAAGCCTTAATGATTGAAAACCTGAAGTTAGTTAAAAATATTTAGTGCATTACAATTTGTTCTGATTCTGACATTAAATTTTTCTGTTTACATTGTTGTGTTTATTATTAATTTCTAGTCATAAAGAATTGAGAAAATGCACTTTTTTGGTTGTGTGTGTGTATATATATATAT